TGGGAAGCAAAGACAAAAGACTCTGAGCTTGCCATACACCTTTATTTGGCACATCAGGAGTAACATATCACTCAGGTCGGTGGTGATACTCCTAGAACAAAGAGGAACTTATGTAGTTGAAGATTTTGTTCCTCCCCAGGATGTCTTCAGCTGGTATAATTCTGCCCTGGAGCATCACAGCATCAGCCACGCCCGTTGACATGCCATACTGGCCTGTAGGCATGAAAACTAGACCTAATCATAATTTAATTGTGAAATGATTTTTTTCCCAAAATTGTGTAGAATTGCTCCCGACACGCCTCTTCTTTGCAATCATATTTATTTTTTCGAGCTTATGGTCTTGCTGGTTTATGCTAAAAAGTTAGTTCAAAATTAATAGGCTGAGGGCTAGGGATTTAGCTCAGTGGTTCCACCACCTACCTCAAAAGTGGAAGGTCCCAAGTTCAATCCCCAGTACCAAAAAAAAAAAAAATTAATAGGCTGAAATTTCCGAACATTACCAACTGTTTCAAAGTAGAAAACTGACATTGCTGCCTTTAAGAATCCCGTGAATGTAAGAAATTGTAGCATATCACATAATATAGAAAGAGCAGGTCAAAGAATTGCGGCAGATGTTGTGTTAACTGTTGTTCTTTGTCACATGTGTTGTATTTGAAAATTTGAACAGTAAGTTTTATTTTATTTTATTTTTTGGTACTGGGGATCGAACTCGGGTTCTTGCACTTGCACAGCAGGTGGCGAAACCACTGAGCTAAATCCCCCACTCTTGAACAGTAAGTTTTAAATAAAATATCCTATGACTGACTTTTTTTTAAGTCATTACGAAAAAACAAATTAATATGAGTTCTAGTCCCTTACCAGACTCCACTCTGAAAGGAGTCATGATTGTCAAACTTTTTTTTTGACAGTGTTTGGCATTATGTAAATATTGAATAGATCAGTGATTCCCAAATGTTCCAATTCAAAGGACTCCATCAAAATACATATTACAGGGGAATGTGGTGGCACACACTTGTAATCCAGAACTCTGGGAGGCTGAGACAGGAGAATCTCAAATACAAGCCCAGCCAGGGCAATTCAGAAACACACAGTCTCAAAAGTTTAAAAATGGCCTGGGGATGAAGCTCAGTGGGTTCAATCCCCAGTACCACACAAATAAGCACAACAAAAGCAATTATAAATTTTGTATTTAAATTTGTTACAAATACAGAAAAGTTCACATACCAAAATGTGCAGCTCAATTAATTTTTACAAACTGAACACAGTATGCAATGAGCTTTCATAAAAAACAGTTCACCAGGGCCACAGAAGTCTCTTAATGTCCCTCTTAGGAGGACTCTATTTTAATCAATTATATGTGATAGTTGTACATTTGGTGGAAGAGTGAGAATATGCATCTGTAGATCCCTGTGTCTACTCCATCAAGGCTCTTTACAATCCTGTACCCCTAATTAAGGACTACTGCAATGGGGTGGAGGTTTTGTTGATTAACTTACACTTTCCATAGAAAAGCTATGTTGGTACCAAACTGTCGAATAAGAGCTAGTGATCATTTTAAAAACATGTACCACACGTGCAGCCCTCTTGGCAGTATCTTAACATATACCCACACTGGGGATGCACCTCCTCATACTCAACATGGCCGCATGCGCGTCTGTGAGCAACATGGCCGCCCTGCCAGACACCAGCATGGAAATCACAGCTTCACCGCGCCCGGAAGCGCGAGCGCGCTCCCATAAGGAGTTCATCTGCTGTTCCGCAAGCACCTACAGTGGCCCTCGTTACAGCTTCCAAAAGAGCGAGGAACCGGAAGTGAGTTCTCGTTGGCCTGCTTTCTAAAGGATCTTCTTCCGGTTAGCCCTCGGGAGTCCGCGTGAGAACTGAAGGTATCCCGGAGTACCGGCGGGGAGGTGCTAGTCTGCCGGGATTCGGTTCGAATCGTGTCCTGGGTAGGAGACCAGGATGTCCGACACGTGGAGCTCTATCCAGGCTCATAAGAAGCAGCTGGATTCGCTGCGGGAGAGGCTGCAGCGGAGGCGGAAGCAGGACTCCGGGCACTTGGGTGAGGCCCTGGGGTGTTGGGCCGAGGCTCGCTGAGGAGGAAGGGAGGGAGGCGGGGATGCCTGGGAAGGAAAGACAGCTCCCGGCACCGTGGCGCCCCGAGCCGCCCCCCCCCCCCCCGAGCCACGCTGACCTTCGCCCTGCTCGGGGAGTGAGGCTTCCCGCCGACCCCGCCCACCTGGCCCGCTGTCCGCTGGCGTCTTGGAGAGGCTCCTCAGCCCCTGTCCCGTGAGGTGGCCGGCCACCACCTTTTGCTGCTGCTATGGCGCTTTGTTCTTTCCTTGGTGGTGACTGCTTTTTAGCGGTCATTCCTTTTCGACTCTGGGCACAGTGAACAAGAACTGAAGCTTTATATTCACGCTGCCCAGTTTAGTGGCCCACAAAGTTCGCAGTAGTGTTGCTCATAGGAAAACATTTGTTTCTGATTTTTAATAATTTTCTTCTCTCCCGTTTATGACTAGCCATAAACGTTGAAGGAGAGCCAGGTGTGGTGGTGCGTTCCTGAAATCCCGACTACTTGGGAGGGTGAGGCAGATGGAGTGTAAGTTCGAGGCCAGCCTGGACAATTTAACGAGGTTCCGGCTCAAAATAGAGTTTAAAAGGACTGGAAATGTAGTTTAGCGGTAGAGCACTTGTCTGGCATGTGCAACTTTTGCATGGTTTAAATCCTCAGCACCACAGAAGAAGACAACTTGAAGGAATTTCAAAAGATTGTCAACGCCTCCCCAAACCACCCACCATCACAAACCCTGAATTAGTTAAGGAAAACCAGTTACAAAGCTGTTCAAGGATAACGAATCCATACTAACTATCCTCATGGTATTTTGTTCCACTGTTTATCACTGTTTCTAACTCGGTCTGTAAATCTTGTTTTGGTCACTTTTCTTTGATGTGTTCATATGCTGGCACCTAGAACTAGAATGTGCATGCATGTCTGTATATAGAATGTGTACATCTGTAGTGTTCATGAGTCTAGTCAGACAAAAAAGACATTGTCTCTGGTCTCCAGGAGTTTAAAATTTAGTTGGTAATTAAGGATACATGTATAGTTTCCATACCAAAAAAAAAAAAAAAGGAGATATATATATTAAGAATAGATGCTTATAAAGTATCAGAAACACAATGTAATATATGTAAGATTACAAATGAATGAGTCCAATGCTAGTACAGTGAAAAAAAAAGAACTGGTGCCTTCATGAAGGAGTTGGCACTTCAATTTGGCCTTGATAGCTCTGTAGGACTTAATTTGACCTTGATAGCTCAATAAGACTTAAAGAAAAGGTAAGAGGGCAGTGTAGTAAAAGTGCAAGACATAGGATCAGGGAATAATTAGTAGTGAGGTGTTGGAGTAGTTATTGAATTACACAAGACAAGTTCAATGCCAGCCAGAGGAACTTATCAAGATTCTTACCTAAAAAAGTTAAAAATAGGGCTGGGGATGTAGCTCAATGGTAGAGCACTTGCCTAACATGCATGAAGCCCTGGGTTCCATCCCCCGCTCCACAAGCAAGCAAGTAAGCAAACGAAATAACCTGCTGTTAAGCTATCTGCAAAGATTCAGTTCCAGATGAAACTACAAAGACATTTCCCTTGGTTAAACAAACCAAAACATTGACAGAGTAGAGACTAAGAAGAGCTATATAAATTTCAGCTTCTCTGGCTTGTAAGTCTAGTTTTCTCTTTTTTTTTAAAGAAACAATTATAAAACCGGACATAGTGGTACACACCTGTAATCCCATGAGGCAGGAGAATCGCTGGGAATTCCAGGCCAGCCCAGCCTGAACTACAAAGCAAGACCTTGTCTCAAAAAAAAAAAAAAAATCAATTGTAGGTAGAAACAAGTTAAACTTCTTTTGCAGCCAAATGACTCAATTACTTTTTAATTTATCCTAGACTCCAGCTACTGGACTTAAGTATATCGTCGCTTTTCAGAAACATCAATGGAAAAGGATATGATTAGAGGTATTTCCGTTTTTTTTTTTTTTTGGTACCAGGGATCGAACCCGGGTCCTTGCGCTTGTGCAGCAGGCGGCGAAACCACTAAGCTAAATCCCCGGCCCTGATCTAATCTTGCCCTTGAGCATCACAACATTGTGGGACCATTGAGGCCTTAGACAGCCCTAATCAGAAATTATGTAGAATGCCTCCCAACACCTTACAATAGGAATTCTACTAAAAATACTAGTATAGTTAATCTTCACTGGTGTTTCTACCACAGTGAAAGTCACTTATTTAATACTTGCAGCCTATAACCTGGGGCTCTTACCTCTCACCCTTTCCTCTGTCAATGTTTTGGTTTGTTTAACCAAGGGAAATGTCTTTATAGTTTTCATCTGGATCAGCAACTTTTTTTTCTTTTTTTTGTCTAGACAGGTCTTGCTATATAGCCAGGCTTTCTTTGAATTCACAGTGGAGCCGAGGCTGGCCTTGAACTGGCAATCCTTCTGCCTCAGCCTCCCAAGTGCTGGAATTACAGGTGTGTGCCACCACTCCCAGTTTGGGCCTGCATCTTTGCAGATAGCTTCACAATTTTGTTTGTTTACTTGCTTGCTTGTGGTGTTGGGAATGGAACCTGAGGCCACATGCATGTTAAGCAAGTGCTTTGCCATCGAGCTACATCCCTGGCCCAATTTTTATTTTGTTTTTAGACAAGAGCCTTGCTAAATTGCCAGGCTGGCATTGCACTTAAGATCCTCCTGCCTTAGCCTCCCAAGTAGTTGGGACTTACAGGCATATGTGCCTGGCAGAAGTCTTAACAGTTCTTGGAACCATTTTTCCAGTCACAAGAATTTTTTTATACGGCATTTGTAGGATCCTTACCTTTTTTTCCCCTGAAAGTACTCTTACATTTCCAGTTTTCTCTACCTCTGAGAAAATGTGCTCCTGACCATTTAAGTATACTAACATGATGAGAAAAATCACGTCTGAGCCAACAAGGCTTTCATGTTACTCTGATATTTTATTTAGTAGTTGCATATGGAGTTTCTTTGCATTGAAATACATTGTAATGAAACAGTATAATTAGGTGATAAAGTATTTGGAAAGTTAGAGAAGCACTTCTCCTGTAGGTCTTTGTTCACCAGATGTGCAGCAGTAGGATGTGGACTGAGCTGCTTTATTAGCAGAAAATTCCATTCTTTTACAGCTAGAAACTCACCAGTTACCGTACTAGTCATACTACTTTGAAACTTACTGAGTTTGGTACTCCTCACATTTTGATATGAAAATTTTGTCCTGGTGTGCTGTACTTGGTCAAAACAATTTGTTTGGTACTCGTTACGCCTAGAACCAATTAATGAGGGGTACCAAGGGACTACAGCACATTTGGACTTCTTGTTAGGTTTTGTTTTGTTCTTGGCAGTACTGGGGATTGAACCCAGGACCTTTGCTCTTTTTTTTTTTGCAATACTGGGGATCGAACTCAGGACCTTGGACTTGGAAGGCAGGTAGGTGCTTTGCTACTGAGCTAAATCCCTGGCCCAGGACCTTTGTTCTGAGCTACATCCCCAGCCCTTTTTTCTTATTTTTTATTTAGAGACAGGGTTTTGCTAAGTTGCTCAGGCTGAGCTTGAACTTGCAATCCTCCTGTCTCAGCCTCCCAGAGATTATTGAATTTTCAGTGTACACATTTCAGGTAAGGCATGTAGCTTTGTTTCAACAAAGTGACCTGTGTTGTTAATTTTTAAAAAACTATTATCAGTGTGTATCATTGACTGCTTTGTGTTCATCTTTGTCTTTCTGCCATTTTTTGTGACAAGCCATCTTCAGTGGGTTTTTAAATTATTACAATTGTTCTTTGTCAGACTTTTTTATGCTTTTTTCATTTCTTATTTTTTTTTTTTTTTCTTTTTTTGAGATGGGATCTTGGTATGTAGTCCAGGCTGTCATTGAACTCACTATGTAATCTAGGCTGGCCTCGAACTCGAGGTGATTCTCCTGCCTCAGCCTCCCCAGTGCTTGGCATTACAGGGTTGCACCACCACACGTGGTCACCATAGCAAGACCCTATCTAGAACAAAAACAAAGAACAGTCTTAAATTACCAAAGAGGAAAAAATATTTAGTATCCAGTTATAAAGATTGAAAATTTTATGTTAAAAGGGACATAAAAACCCTTTGTAACTTTAAGAAAAATGATACATTCCTCAGAGGACATTTAAATTCACCTACTATTCGGAAAAAGTGAAAACTGCAGAAGAAATGTTTCTGAGATTACATTTGTTAATTTTTTCAAGGTAGTGGGGATTGAACCTAGGGTTTCATCACTAGTGCCTGACCAGTGAACTACCCTTTCAGCTCAAGATTACATTCTTTTTTTTCTTGGTACCAGGGATCGAACTCGGGTCCTTGCACTTGCAAGGCAGGCGACAGAACCACTGATCTAAATCTCCGGCCCTCAAGATTACATTCTTGATAACATGTTATCAATTTTCAGCTTATTGACACAAATGAAAAGCAAAATTAATGCTTTTTCTTATTTGATATCAGGCCTGATAGTGTTTAAGGACTAGATAGAAAAATGTATAGACTGTTTTAGACATAGCAAATAACATTTGCATGAGAAGTTAGGTAAACTGTTCAGTTGTTAAGGCAGAAAATGGGAACTTCTTGTTTATTTTTTCAGTACCATGGATCAAACTCAGGGGTGCTTTACAAATGAGCTATATCCCCAGCCCTTTTTTTTCGTACCGGAGATCGAACTCGGGTCCTTGCGCTTGTGCAGCAGGCGGTGAAACCACTGAGCTAAATCCCCGACCCCTCCCCAGCCCTTTTAAAATTTTTATTGTTTGAGATAATAGGGTCTTGCTAAGTTGCGCACACAGGAGTTGAATTTGCAGTCTTCCTGCCTCACGTCCCCTAAGAGGCATGTGCTGATCAAATTTGTATCATTATTTTAAATGTGATAATAGCAGACATAACAATGTCAGGTAGATTTTTTTGTCTTTGAATTGGCAGAGTCTGGGCTTCAGTTAAAGTAAAACTAATAATAGCAGTAATGTTTTTTAAAGAAAAAAATGTACCAGTGCATATTTAAGTAAAATATATGTTTGAAGAACTATTTATGGCAATAATGTAAATTAATATGGCAGGCAATGAGTATATTTCCACACAGAATTTGGGTTATATTACATTAACAAGAGTGTTACTGAAGTCCTGTTTGAACGTTTGAAAGAAACCATAGAAAATCCTCAATATTTTGATGTCTATTTTCTTTTTTGGCATTTATTTTGATCATTGATAGCACTTTCAAATTATTTTCTTTCCTTTTTTTAAAAATTTTTATTTATTTATTTTATTCAAATTATTTTCATTTAAGCCACATGGGCAAGAAACAATCACCATGCAAAATCAAGATGTAATACAGATTGTCTGCAGAGGGTTTAGGCCCTTTCTAACAAAATAAAATATGCAGATAACAACAGCATTATATTACAGAGTGCCTGAAATACAGTTCAAACAAATGGGGGTGGGGGTGGTATTGGCAATGGATAATATATGGTTTATTTAAAAAATTCAGGGCCGAGGATTTAGCTCAGTGGTTCTGGCGCCTGCCTTGCAAGCACAAGGTCCCAAGTTCGATCCCTGGTACCAAAAAAAACCCCAAAACAACAATAAAATATTTTAAAATTTCAAAATCTATGTAAAAGGACCCATATGCTGAGTGTGGACTTAAAATGTACATATATTATCCTTCAGTTTCCATTTCTATCATAAAAATCCCTTAGGTTCATAGCTTATATATTACTCCCATAGGCATACTTTATGAGTTTAAAAGGATAATATGTAATGTTTTACCCTTAAATTTGTTGACTTAATATCTAAAATCCCAATTTTAAAATCCTTTGTGGTTTTTTTTCTGCCTTAATGAAATTTAGCACTGATTGTGTTTAGGTTGCTTATAGGAAGAAATTTTGGTTTTTTCAAAAGAATTATAACTTGACTAACAAAAGAAAGCTTTGACCTAGTGTAAATATGTTACTAAACTTATACCACAGGAATATTTTAGCTCAAGATTATTAGACACATAGAATCTCTGAATTGCAAGAGGCTTTTATAATCACCTGTGCAGTCCTGTTCAATGCAGACATTTTGTTTATCCTTAGTATACTAAACAGTAATTGTTACATTTCTTTTTTTTTTTTTTTTGGTAGCAGGGATTGAATTTGGGTCCTTGGGCTTGCACAGCAGGCGGCAAAACCACTGAGCTAAATCCCTGGCCAATTGTTACATTTCTTACATATTTTTAGCTTTGGTCACTTAATCTCAAAACTTTCTTATCCAGATTTTCAGAGTGCTTCCAAGACTTACAGCACCTCTTTGACAAAACAAGGAATTTAATTAAGCTTTTGAAAGTTCCAGTCTAAGATACAACAGAATATAAAGAAATCATAAGTAAGCAAGGTGAAGAAAGTTCTTTCAATTATCTAACATTGGCGGCTGCTATGGAACTGTGAAGTCTGTTTTCCAAATAGGGTATAACTTATTTTTTATAAAATATAACTATTCTAAAAAGTTAGTGCAGTTCAGGTTCATTTTCTTTGGAAGCTCTAAATCAAATTTTACTAAGTTTAGTTTCATCCAAGTGGAAATTCATAAGTAACCAAAATATGCCTAGATGTAAAACTCATGGCCCACTCATATATAATTTATTTAACAGAATTCCAGTTGAGGTCCTGGGAGTGTAGACTAAGGTAATATTTTGTCCTAATTTGTAAGGCTATGATGATTACCTACCTTGCGATGTAATAATAGAGTAGATGATAAACATACACAGGAATGGGCCAAGGGTTAGCTCAGTGATAGAGAACTTGCTAGCATGTGCAAGGCCCCAGGGTTCAATCTCTAGGATCAAAGAAATAAAAAGACAGGAAATATCATTTGTTGACTATACCTTCAGCAAAGTAACCAAAGTATTAAGGTTTTCATATTTATGAATATTAAAGGTTACAGTGTTCTATCCATTACTATCTTTTTTCTTTCATTCTGTTTGTTTTGAGACAGTCTCGGTTATATAGTCCAGGCTGGCCTCCAACTTTTTTTTTTGAGTCAGGGTCTCACTTTGTAGTCCATTCTGGCCTTGAATTTACAGAGATCCTACTGTTTCAGCCTCTCAAGTGCTGGGATTACAGGCATGCACCACCACCCTCGTTCAGGCCTCCAACTTTTGATCCTCAGCCTCTTAAATGCTAGGCTTTTGTCACCATACCTGCCCCCGTGCTATTAATTTTGTACAGTTTTTGATGGCTGGTGACCTTCAGTCATTAAAGTTCATACTCCATGCCTGAAAATGATACTCTGATGCCAGTTTATGTTGTTGAAAGTATTTCTGGCTTTCATTAAGATGTAGGTTGATGATACTACTTAGACTGAGAGAAGGCAGGTGGTAGAGAGATGCAGATCTACTGTGCTGCTAACTTACTTCCTTTGAAGACCAGCAAGGATGAAGAATTAGGAAAGTACTTCTTACGCAACAAAAAAAAGCTAGACAGTTCCCAGGAAAATCCAGGATTATTTTGGCAAAGTAGTGAACACTTGAGTATGATGGAGAGATAATCTAGTGCCAAAGCTCGTCAGAGAATTTCCCTAGGAAATGAAAGGTCTGTGTGCTGAGAATGCTAGAGAATTCCACTCCTGGCAAATGTACAAACTGACAGTAATTGTTTTCATTTTTACTTCTTTTCACTCTTAGATCTACGGAATCCAGAGGCAGCATTGTCCCCAACTTTCCGTAGTGATAGTCCAGTGCCTCCTGCACCCACTTCTGGTGGCCCTAAGTCCAGCACAGCTTCTGTAGTTCCTGAATTAGCTACAGACCCTGAGTTAGAAAAGAAGTTGCTCCACCACCTCTCTGATCTGACCTTAACATTGCCCACGGATGCTGTATCCATCTGTCTTGCCATCTCCACGGTAATAACCTGATAGAATTGGGAGCTACCACTTAAACGTTCTGTGCATGGTCAGTGTGTTATTGCCCTCTTCCTCCCTTCTCTAGCCAGATGCTCCTGCCACTCAAGATGGGGTGGAGAGCCTTCTACAGAAGTTCGCAGCTCAGGAGTTGATCGAGGTAAAGCGAGGGCTCCTACAAGATGATGCGCATCCTACTCTTGTGACCTATGCTGACCATTCTAAGCTCTCTGCCATGATGGGTGCTGTGGCAGAAAAGAAAGGACCTGGGGAGGTAGCAGGGACTGTCACAGGGCAGAAGCGACGAGCAGAACAGGATTCAGCTACAGTAGCTGCCTTTGCCAGTTCTCTAGCCTCTGGTCTGGCCTCTTCCGCATCAGAACCAGCCAAGGAGCCAGCCAAGAAATCAAGGAAACACACTGCCTCAGATGTTGATCTGGAGATAGAAAGCCTTTTGAACCAACAGTCTACGAAAGAACAACAGAGCAAGAAGGTAGGGGCCATAAAAATACTCTGAATGTCCTCTGTATGGTAGCTTTGCTTGGGAGGGATTTACCCTTAGGGCAAAGAGCAGTTCTTCGAATTTATGGTTTAGAGCAGTGGTTGTCAACTGAGCATGATTTTGCCCCACACTTAGGGTCAACCAAAGACATCTGGCAATGTCTGGAGACATTTTTTTTTGGTATCGGAGATTGAACCCAGGTCCTTGCGCTTGTGTAGCAGGCGGCGAATCCACTGAGCTAAATCCCTGGCCTCCTGGAGACATTTTTGTTGTCATATCATGGGAAAGTGCTACTGGCAACTTGTAGGTAAACGTGTTACCCTGCATAGGATAGCTCCCATAACAAAAAACTGTCTGGCCCAAAATGTCAGTAATGCCAATGTCAAGAAACCCTGATATGTAGAATTTTGTCATTGAATCTGTTTGGAAGGATCCTTAGATCAAGAGATGAGTCCAAATATATGCGTGTAGGGAGAGGAGTACTGGATTATAGTCATTTGGACCCAAAATTAGGAAAATTGATAATCAGACAGGACATACACACAATATAGTGGTTCTGAGTATTAGAATGACATGAGTTCTCATTTGTTTCCTACTTCTAGTTTTGTGAGTTTGAACAAGTTCTGTTGAGCCTTAGTCCTCTCATCTGTAACATGAAAAAATCAGAGTATCCTCCCTTACAGAACTGTTGAATAGATTCTGAGCTAAAGTATTAGCATGTGCTTTGCCTTAGTACCCAGTAAACAGAAGTGGGTTTGTTTTTTGTTTTTGGATGGCGGTGGGATAGCTTAATGCTTAGCAGTAGGAACCAAGCTTCTTGTAGTTTAATTCTATCCTAGATGCAGATTTTTTTTTTGGTACTGAGAATCAAGCTCAGGACTTTGGACTTGTGAGGCAGGCCGTGGCACCACTGAGCGAAATCCCCGGCCCTAGATGCAGATTTTTGAGCAAGGCCTAAATGCTTGACAGATTTTGTATCCCGAGGCACCACTGTTCCCATATTAAGTTAGCTCATTTATTCCCTTATAAGACATTAATATCAAATAGGATTTGCAGAAGTGGTTTAAGAGCTGACTTGATCTACAGACCTTTTTAAGACCAAGGCTGCTTCTGTCACAGGTCAGTCAGGAGATCCTAGAACTATTAAATACTACAACAGCCAAGGAACAATCCATTGTTGAAAAGTTTCGCTCACGAGGTCGGGCCCAAGTGCAAGAATTTTGTGACTATGGGACCAAGGAGGAGTGCATGAAAGCCAGTGATGCTGATCGACCTTGTCGCAAGCTGCACTTCAGGTCTCTGGGGAGGAGTGAGGTGGGATGGGTTTCCCAGAAGCAGTCATTCCTTTTCATCATTTTCCTTCCTGTCATTGGGGTTCTGTCTGTAAACCTGTCATTTAGTTTACTACTGTTTAAGTTCTCCAGACTCTGAAAGTAATCTTTCAGAATTGGCAAGAAATAGAAGTGGAAGAAATAGAAGCTACACTCTCCAGTATATTAGATTCCCTTAAAAGCCCCCTTCTAGCAAGGCATCTCTTATCTCTGATCCATACAAATTCTCTGGAAGGAGGATGGTCATAGGAGAAACAGGAACCAGGGCTCTTGGAACAATGTATTATTTTCTAACCGGCCAAGTCCTTTTTGAACTGTGTTCCTAATAAAAGGAAGCAAAGTCTTTGCTCTTTAATGTGAATTACGGATTTCCATGTCACTTGTTTCTCTTCTCTTAAAACTCTCAGAGGAAGTGCTAACAATAGAGAAAATTCAGGGAGGGTCAAAAAAGAGGAAAACTCAAAAAACTATTTGGAATTTGAACTGTAGGATATACCTGTGGAATGCCATCTTGATTCTGATTCCTGCTTTTTATTTTCCCAGACGTATTATCAACAAGCACACTGATGAGTCTTTAGGTGACTGCTCTTTCCTTAACACATGTTTCCACATGGATACCTGCAAATATGTTCACTATGAAATTGATGCTTGCATGGATTCTGAGGGTCCTGGCAGCAAGGATCATACACCAAGCCAGGAGCTTGCGCTCACACAGAGTGTTGGTGGTGACTCCAGTGCGGATCGACTCTTCCCACCTCAGGTACTGTCTGCTCAGAAAACTCATCTCAGCTTTTGGACTTATGTCTGAGTAGGGCAGCCATGCATGTAGGGCATCAGGGCATAATTCAGCAATCTGCCTTGCTGACTGGGATGGAGTGGGATAGATGTGCTTACAAGGGAGTAGGAAAATCAAATGGAAAAGAGGGACTTGGGGCCATGAATCTGAGAGTGAAGGAAGGGAAGATGACCAAATACCACCTCATGCAGTGGATCTGTTGTGATATCCGCTACCTGGACGTCAGCATCTTGGGCAAGTTTGCAGTTGTGATGGCTGACCCACCCTGGGATATTCATATGGAGCTGCCCTATGGGACCCTGACAGATGATGAGATGCGCAGGCTCAACATACCAGTTCTACAGGATGATGGCTTTCTCTTCCTCTGGGTCACAGGCAGGTAATACAGTTAAAGATATGTAGGGATGGGCCCATATAGTACGTAGTGAGTACTGGGTGGGAGATAAAACCCTAGGTTATCCTACACTTTTGGCCTATTAAATGACTGATTTAGAATTTTTTCCCCTTCTTATAGAGCCTTAATGATTCTAACACAAATAATTTTTTTTTTTTGGTACTGGGGATTGAACTCGGGTCCTTGCGCTTGCGCAGCAGGCGGCGAAACCACTGAGCTAAATCCCTGGCTACACAAATAATATTTTGAATTATATTTAACACTACATTTGCTCCTTGAGAAAGGTAAGGTCATTGAAAAGAGATACTATATTTTATATATTTTTCCCCAGTACTGGGGATTGATCTCAGAGACAGTATTTGCTAGACAAGCACTCTAGTACTAAGCTATATTACCAGCTCTTTTTGAAATTTTCAGGTGGGGTCTTGCTAAGTGTCCAGGTTGGCCTAGAACTTGTGATCCTCTGCTTCAGCCTTCCAGAGAGCCACCTGTGAAGTCATGTGCCACTGCATCTGTTTTTTTTTTTTTTGGTACTGGGGATTAAACTTGGGTCCTTGAGCTTGCAAGGCAAGCGGCAGAACCACTGAGCTAAATCCCTGGCCTGATATCTTCCTATTCTTAGATCCATCCTGTTGCCCTAATGGTATCTTATATATGTTCATTGAACACCTACTAGAAAAAAAAAGGTTTCTAATGTTTACATTAGAGATTTTGAAGGGAGAATGACAAAATGGGCATACAAGTTGTTTAAGCCTTTTTTCTTTCTAGGGCCATGGAGTTGGGGAGAGAATGTTTGAACCTCTGGGGGTAAGTAGCAGTTGTGTTGCTTTGAGGGAAATTAGTATGTATTGATACTGTCATGACTTGATACTGTCATGACAAATAATGTTCCCTTCTCCCAGGGTATTCTGGTGATTCCTTGTCTCTGTAGATGGTACTACCCCTGAACTATCAAAGTATGGTTAAAGCTGTAGTTCTCTTTTGCTCCAGTTATGAACGTGTAGATGAAATTATCTGGGTGAAGACAAATCAACTGCAACGCATCATTCGAACAGGTCGTACCGGCCACTGGTTGAACCATGGGAAGGAACACTGCTTGGTGAGCAGCCATAGGACCTAATTCTGTGATAAGAATTGTTTTTCTTTTTTAATAAAAATTCAAAAGTGGGCCAAGGCCCAGGGATTTAGCTCAGTGCTTTCGTTGCCTGCTGCGCAAGCGCGGGGACCTGAGTTCGATCCCTGGTACCAAAAAAAAAAAATTTCAAAAGTTGTGGTTTCCTAAGGTAATTCTGTTCTCTGTGGTGAGCAGGTTGGTGTCAAAGGAAATCCTCAAGGCTTCAACCAGGGTCTTGATTGTGACGTGATTGTAGCTGAGGTATGTTTCTCAAGTCACCCAGACTGTTCACATTTTTGTTATCCATTATTTATGCCAGGTGTATTCTCATTCCAGGTTTTTCTCTTTTGGATTATAAACATACTAGAGCTAGAACTGCACTCTTGGCTAACTTAAAAACTACCTAGTCTTTATTTTCTAGGTTCGTTCTACCAGTCATAAACCAGATGAAATCTATGGCATGATTGAAAGACTGTCCCCTGGCACTCGCAAGATTGAGTTATTTGGACGACCACACAATGTGCAACCCAACTGGTAAGGTGACTGGAGAATAGGCTAGGCTAGAAGTGGCAAACCTATGGCATGTGTGCCACAGCAGGCTGTTTATCATTGAAAGTGCTAAAAGATTTGCCATTGTTGGGCTAGGCCAT